CCTCTGCCTATGGAGAGAGAAAAAAGTTTTCAAAATAGAAGCAAATATAGTGGGAGACTACACATATAATATACATTTATATAATTATGCAACATTCATTTAATACTCTGACATTTAAAGATGACCACTTTAAGCATGAATTTGGATTTATATGAAATGGTTAATGTTTTACAGTGACATTACATTTAACTGAGGTTAATAAATGCTTTAGATGTATTGTTTATTGTTTGTTAATTTCAACATTTACTAATATATTTTAATTAAGTTTTGATCATTTTCATTTTTATCTATTAACATTTCATCTTCAATATTTTAATGTTTACCTTATTTTCAGATGGCAAAGGCTTTGAAGAAAGTGCCAGTGTGGGAGTATTTCACTGAAGTATCACCAGGGAAAGCACAGTGCAATATCTGTGACAAAATCATCAGCATGGGGGCATCAACGTCCACAAGTAAAAATACCACAAACATGTGGTCTCATCTAAAGCACGTCCATCCAGAAGTCAGCGAAGAAGCAAAGAAAAAAAGGGACAAGAAAGATCCTTCTCAGCCATTAGTGTCTCAACTTTTTGAACACAAGACAGGGTGGAAGGACACAGATCCAAGGTCTCTTAAAATTGATGCAGCAATCATTGAAATGATTGCCATTGACAACCAACCATTTTCTGTGGTTTCAGATGTTGGATTCAAGAGACTCATGTCCCTTATGGAACCCAGGTACAGAATTAAAAATGAAAAGTTCTACAGAACAAAAATGCTCAGACACCTACTCAAGGGTTTTTGACAAAAATCAGAAGTGAAGTGATGAAGGACAAGGTCCCATTTATGGCGTTCACAACTGACTGTTGGTCTGGAGCTACAGAGTCCCTGATGAGCCTAACTGGGCATTTCATTTCTGAGGACTGGTCGAGAAGGCAAGTGGTGCTAAATGTCAAGCCTATGATTGGACCACACTCTGCCAGTTATATTCAAGAAACCTTCCTTAACATGTTAGGAGACTGGGATATCGCAACAGAACGTGTTGTTCTTGTCCTAAGAGATGGGGGAGCAAACATGGTAAAAGGAATGAGGCTGGCTGAACTTCCTGATTTAAGCTGCACTGCTCACACCCTTCAGCTCATTGTAAATGAGGGCCTATCTAGTCAGAGAGCTGTTCTGGACATTATTGTCATATTGAAAAGCTGTGCAACTCACTTTGGCCATTCTGTATTGGCAAAACAGAGGCTGAGAGCCATTCAGGAGGAAGTGGGTGTGCCAGTGCACAACATCATCCAGGCTGTCCCAACTCGCTGGAACTCAACGCTTCACATGCTTCAACGAATGTATGAACAGACGGGCACTGAATGTGTATGCTGGTGAACACGGCCACATCAGCTGCTTACTGTATCTGCCACACAGTGGGACATTGTCTGCAACCTGATCAATACACTGGCTCCCATCGAAGAAGTCACAATGGAGATGAGCAACCCTGAGACTTCAGCAGCATGCATTATCCCCATTGTGTCTGTTCTAAAGCTGATGCTGCGGGAAGAGGGACCATCCTCAGCAGGCATCAAAACTTTGTGCAAGACCATGCTTGACAGTCTGACAAGGCGGTTTTCCAAAGCAGAGACGACAAAAATTCTTGTCCTAGCAACACTCCTTGATCCCAGATAAAAGGCCCGTGCCTTTGCGTCTGAAGAAACACTTGAGAAAGGAAAAAAATGGCTAAAAGATGAAGCTGAAGAGTTTGCCAAGCTCAGAGATGATGATCCATGCCCTCCACTAGAAGGACCTGAGCAGGATGAGGGTTTGGATCCAGAGACAAAGAAGCAGAAAATCCATCAGCCCACTTTAGTGGACACTCTGTATGCCAGGGTCCTTGGTGCCACAGCTGTCTCTCATGAGATGTATAGCTTTGAGACTGAGCTTGAGTGCTATTTGTCAGAGCCTGTCATTGAAAGAAGTGACATGCCTCTGCAGTGGTGGCAAAAAAATGAAACAAGATTTAAAACACTTGCACATCTCAGGTTGGTACCTTGCATGGCAGCCTCCACCACCGGCGTGTGGATGTGTGTGTGGATGGGTGAATGTGAGGCATAAATTGTAAAGCGCTTTGAGTACTCGAAAGAGTAGAAAAGCGCTATATAAATGCAGTCCATTTACCATTTTACCATTTTTTACATCTGGCAAAGAAATTCCTGTGCCCCCCACCATCCACTGTGCCTAGTGAAAGGGTGTTCAGTGAAGTGGGCATGCTTTAAGAAGCCAGGAGGAGCCGACTCACTGGACACCATGCACACCAGCTCTGTTTTCTCCATTATAATTTGAGGCTTCTTAACTTTGAGTATTAAAATAGAACTAGAACTGGACCACGTTATACTTGAATCTCTTGCAGTTCTTTAACAGGACTAGTTAAGTTTCTCCTGTTTCACAAGTTAAAATTTGTTATTTGGAGTGCCTTTTATTATTCATTTTGTATGTAACTTTTTTTTATTTATTTGGAGTGTTACTTTTTGTTTCAGTTTGAAAGCATGTCTTTAATTTACCTCAATATTTATTAATATATTCATATGTATTTCATATAGCACATTTTCATGATTCAGTACTGTTTTTTTGTTTGTTTTTTGTAATAAAGTTTAGTACCATTTTATATGGAGTGTATCCAATTAATCGGTTATCGGCAAGTACGGACCAACCTAGCTATCGGTAAAATTCAACATCGGTCAACCTCTAGTTGTCAGAGTTGCCTGTGACGTAATTTCAACATGGCGACTTAATTTGTTTGTAGTTTGTTTGCCGTTCGAAAAAAGAATATCGCTATGAATGTACTAAAATATTTTATAAAGCTTTTAATATGGTTTGACTAGTTCGTATTTCTTGTTTGTCTCTCGGAAAAATCTCCATTTGGAAAACTCCAAATCTGCTAAAATATAAAGCAACAACACACAGCAACATGTTCATGGAGGCAGCCATGTTTGTTCCGAGATGTGGGTAGCTCGAACGGGAGATTGCCGGATGTGATGTCACTCAACTCGGAATTTCCGAGTTCCGAGAGAAAAACGAACGCACCATAACATACAACAATTTCAACAGTGTTCCCATTTTGTAGTGGTTTACAACCCCAAACACTCAATTTCACCTTGTGGAGGTTCTTGTTCATTGTCCCTTCACCCTCAGATACCAGGTGTTCCTGCTCTTCTTCTTTAACATCTCCGACACCCTGCTGGGGAGCTTTCTGATTCGTGCAGCAGTTGGTTTTACTGCAGGAAGGCGTCTGCTGACACCAAAACAAAATCGAACAACACCATGAGACTGTGCCAGTCAATCAGTGTCACAATGCAGTCAGCAACATCCTGCATCGAGCACAAACAGACCCGCCTTCCTTGGTCAGTGGCGCATGACTCTGATCCCACAGCAGGGCTTCTGCTCTGACTGGATCGCCTGGATGGAGGCTGGAAACTCCTGGATGCTGAAGACACAAATGAATGTTTTAGGTAAACTGCACCACCTTAGGCCATATCCAGAATGCTTCTACTTAGTGTTTGGGATACATCTATGCTTTAATGACAAATAAATAAATATATATATTTTATACAAATATAACGAAATACAATTACCGCAACTCGCGCAGATTGTTTTAAACACCACATTAAGACATACATGTAATTTTGTGCAAATTGGATTTCCTGAGGGAAATGCTTCAATCAAGGTATCGAGCTAAATAAATATGGTAGATGGCGAGCTACCTGATACTCCCCAGATAAAATGTGGCCATTAACCAAAGTCTACGTTAGGATGTAAGCTATGACTAGGGATAAGTATCATTAAGATTTTAATGGAACTACTCTTACCGATGCTGTTTATCGATCCGGTACTCATTGGTGCTTTTTATTTAAGAGAGAAAAATAGACAAATTAAGAACAGAATTAACATATGCGTACTGTAAACTGCAACAACGTTTTGAACAAGTCACATAGATTAAAATGTGACAATTGAAATGGAAAATGTTAAAGAAACAGCCATGTTAATTCACCATTTCAGACTTATTTTGTGATAAGGCCACTTAAAATTAATAAATTGTTTTACATGACTCAAACTTCTAAAATATTGTTGAGTAGGGGATTTTATATTTTTAGCGAAAAGACGAACGGCAACAGAGATATACTAAAACTAGAAAAGTTCTCAAACAGCTCACGAAGGGTAACATTACTCGGTATATTGATGCCCTGCCAAAATTTTAATACCGTGGGCCCACACACAATCTGACAAACGATAAAAACCATTTTCCGAGAAGCGTCAAATTGAAAAATCCGAGGCTGACATTCAAGATTTTTCACCCACGGCGGCCATTTTGAGAGAAACACAAGATGATTTCAAACGACCACCGTTAGTTGTTACGCGTGCGTATTGACGATCTCTGACAGTTTTTGAGGTGAAAAAACACGGATTTTTTGAAAAATATAAAATATTAAAAAAAAATCGAGGCGGCACCAAAAAATTGAGGCGGGCGGCCATGTAAAGCAATTTATTAATTTTAAGTGGCCTAATGGAAATGTAAAACAAATGTAGTAAACAACGAAAAACTTAATGCAAGACTGACGATAATTTAAATTTTAATCATTTGGACGAACCTTAGAAACTGTAAATTTCAGAAGGACATACACTGCTCTGACCCTTTCTGATTAAATTTATCAACGCATCAATAAATCAGCTGGCTAATGGCTACTTTTAATCATTAATTTATATTAGTATATTTTAGTTACCTCAGTGTGAGAGCTCCAAGCTGCTGGCACACATAACATACCTGGGGCAACGACAACTAGCTTCCCGCGTGGCTAGGAACAAAGAGTAAAAACTTCAGTTACTCTTCTGGTTGGCCAAGACTAAGCTAACAGAGTTGCCCGTCATAAAATAAACACAGTTTTGCATCAATTGCTAGAAGAAATTAATCACAAATAAATATACAAGAAACGCAAAGCATTTCACTGATATAAATAACACCTTATTACTAACAGAATTGATTTCCTAAAGAATATTTTATATGGAGCTCAACAAAGAGCATCCTACCTGAACCTTTCCCAGGCTATGAGTAACATCCGCGAGTGCACGTCGTTTTTTTCAAATCTGGCGCCCTAGGCGCGCGCGTTCTGTATCAGGGACCAATCGATTAAGTTCTTGTGTCAAGTACTGATGGAATACCCGGATGTGCTCTCGTTTATTGGATTTAACAGAGTACACACTGGAGACAATTTTGATGGGCATTCAAATTTAGAGATCAGTGTTGATAGACACACCACAGCACACAGTGGACAACAACGAAATGTGTCTTCTGCATTGAAATGATTCCACTTGCCTTCATTATTAATTTGCCATTAATTGCTAGTTTACTTATTATTGTATTTTGTTTGGGCTTATGTAATGTGGGGTTTAAGCATCCTCTAGTGGGCAACTGCAGACTTAAGCAGTGTGCTTTTTCTTTGACCAGTCTGCAGCAATTTCTAATTCCCCGGCTCCAGATCTAGTCTCCCCGGCTCCAGATCCAGTCCCCCCGGGTCCTAACCTTCCAGTTCCTAACTCTGCTCCTACGCACCCTGCTCCCATGACCCTAGTCCCTGTCCCTGAGGAGGTCCCAGACTATCAGAACACTGCTCCTTCCCCTTGGGGAGCTCTAATGGGACCCCTCAGGGATTTCCCTGATGGCGCCAATGGACCCCTCTGGGGGGTCACCCAGTCCGTCAACCCCAGCGTGGTTGATCCCGGCCAGGTCCCCATCTTTTGGTCTTCCGAAAGGGGAGAGGACATCTGCACAGGGGTCGAGTCCCACCCGCCCTGCCCCCTGGCTCGCCCTCGGTCTCCCTGGCTATGGATCCAGGGGCACCTGCGGGTCCTCCGGCTCCTGCTCAGCAGTCGCCTGCGGGTCCTCCGGCTCCTGCTCGGCGGTCGCCTGCGGGTCCCCCTTTGATGGCTCGTCTGCCTCCTTCAGCCCCGCCTTCAACGCCTCGTCGGTCGCCTGCGGGTCCCCTCACTTCGACACGTCAGTCGCCTGCGGGTCCCCCCACTCTAGCTCGTCGGTGGACGACGCCTTCGCCTGCTGTGGCTGCGCTGTTGCCTTCTGCGGCTTCCCCTCCCTCCTGGCCTTTGCCTTTACCTTCCTCCTCGCCTCCCCTGGTGCCCCCTCCACCTGTCCCTCCACCTGCCTCCTCGCCCCCTCCAAGGTCCCCCCCTGCTACAGCCTCACAGTTGCCTGCTGCCCCTGTGGCTGCCGCTCTCTGCCCGCTGGGGTTCCCTCAGGCTCCCCGTTGTCCCCCGTCCTTTCCCTTCCAGCCTCCTGTGTCTGCTCCTCGTCCCTCTGTGTCTCCAGTGTTCCCTCCTGGTCCTTTTCTTCCTCCCGTTGGTGTTCCCCCTGTGTCTCCTTTCCTAATGCCCCTGTGCCTGTCTGCCTTCCCTGTGGTCTGTCAGTGGTTGTCTAGCCTGTTGTTTCTGTGCCTGTTTTGTGAGTCCATCCTGTTCCCAGTGTCTGGTTGATGGTTTTTGCTTTTGTTTTCCAGGTCCAGTGTGCCCGGTCCCGTCTCGTCCATTGCCTCCCTTTTACTCTTTGGGGGGGGGGGGGGGGTTCTGTCATGACCTGCTCGTCCGATTCTCTTGTGCGCCTCGCCCCCTCATTAACCTTGTGTGAATTCTGGATTGTTATCAGCTATCTTCTGTTATTTCGATTTGTCCTGTGTATTTAAGTCCGCGTTCAAGTCTGTTGCCCCAAGTCCTGTCATTGAAGTGATCCCCGTATTCTGCTTCGTTTTGTTGTTTTTCCCAAATAAACCCCGTATACCCTGATTCACCGTCTCCCCGCTGCTACTTCCTGACTCTCTGATCCGTGCTCACAGTACAGCTTTACAATAAAGTGGCCATTTCTTTACAATGTTATTTTATTAACTGATTTTAAATTAATTTTGGTATCTATCATTATACTTATACAAATGTTGTATAATAAAAAATACATTTGAACATGCTAAGTGAAATGTTTCATTTCTGTTTCAGATATTTAGTTATGTAGTTCTGACAAATATAGTGATAATGATAGTTGTTTTACATTTGTATATTTTTGGGATTATTTGGGACTTTTTGTAATTTTGGTAGGCTGGTTCGGTGTTGTACCAATCCTCGTTGGGACCTGGGAAGAGAATCACTACAATACTGAATTATTTGAATCCAGGAGCAGTAATTTCATAATGCCAACTTTGGATATTTGAACTCCAAATATGTACAGAAAATTATAGACAGTATAAACTGAATATAAACCGTGCTCATGAGATTATGGGCACACATGTCAGTCAGATTCATTGTGAGAGTGCCATCATTGCCCACTGTCTCATCCTGTAGCCCAGGTTAGCGCCGGTTGATAACTACAGGTATAGCAATACCTTCTTTTTTTATAATTACAAGATCCTGACGTCTGTTATTATTAGTGAATGCAATGCGCTTCCATAGAAACATAACATTTGTACAATAATGATATAGAGATTTTCATGTAAATGAATAGAGTCAGGTTAATGTTTAATTGAAAATGTTTAACTACTATTATAATAAGTAACATACAGAAGTAGCCACTGTAGCATTTTTAGCATTTACCAACTCCCCAAATGAGCAGGCACACAGTAATTTATCACAGTAAACATTGTAGGTCTACAATTACTATACAACTAAATAATTATTGATAATAATGTTTAATGTACTACAGTGATATTGTGATATTTAATTTGTGCAGTCATTTTATATATATATATGTGCGTGTGGGTATGTGTGTGTGTGTGTGTGTATGTATGTAAGTATGTATGTATGTAGATTTTCTAAAGGATTAACAAACTTTCAAGCATCACTATATGTATTGTGTTTTCCAGTGTCAGCAATGCCAAAACATCGGAAAGGAAAGGGTTCTTCCAGAGATGATCTCTGGTCATTAGCTGGAGGAGAACAATCGTTAGTGCAGAATTTCCTTTTAGTGGACATTTTGGAACAAGACACATCTTTCAGTTCTGATGTGTGGTTGAAACTGTCCATAGCAATTTTTGGAAATGAAAATATGAAAAATAAGAAATGGCTGCACTGTCTGTGGAAATACAATCGTAGAGATATTAGAGTAAATGTTACAGCAAAAACCTAGTCAAGCAATTCAGAACATCCAGAGTTACCTAGGGGTGAAAAAACACCTGATCCACTCAGTGACTCCAAGCCGGGGAAGAACGACAGAAGAACAGGGGAAAGTTGCAGAAAAGAGCCACAGCAAAGAAGATGCCACAGTGAAGCAAGAGGGAGAGGAACACTCTGCTTGAAGTGAGGAGGAGACAGCTGAAGGACAAGAGGCTGATCAGTCAGAAAGACCAGTGTGCCCTACAAGTGACATTTCTCAAGTGTCAATCAGTGACCCAAAATCTGCAACAATGAGAATTATAGAGGAACAGGTGAGAGAGGCGGAAAAGAGCCACAGCAAGGAAGATGCTGCAGTGTGGCAGGAGGCAGAGGAACACTCTACTGGAAGTGAGGAGGAGGAGGAAGAGGAGACTGATTGGCTAGAGACTGACCGACCAGAAAGTCCAGAATCCCTTGTAAGTGACAGATCTGATGCTTCCATTAGTGACCCAGAGCCAGAGAAGGAGAGGCAAAGAAAGAAAAAGTTTATGGGACATGAATCGGCAAGAACAACAAACAGTGATGAGGTGTTTAGAAAGGTGCAAATCACACCAAAGAAATTCACGATTTCACTTAAACAAAATCAGTGGAGCAAAATATCCCTCCAGAAAAATGCCAACAAACTTCAACAACCATGGGCAAACATAAGTTATAGTCAGTTTAGGAAAATTAACCCGAGCTGTGTCCTTTTTTTTACTTACCAGCATGTCCGTGTTCCTGGCAGCAGGAATAGAAATACACCAATTCTAATTATTTATGTTTGCAAATTCTCCACCTGCCAGGCAAGGTACATAATTAAAATGAAAAACAAGCCCAGTCGGCTTCAACCTGACATTGGAATGGTGGTTTTCCGCAGTGGAGAAATCAAACATTTAAAGAAAGAGCTGCAGTTCAGGCCAGCGACTAATATTCGCAGGGGCAAAATTGCAAAAGCTCCAGTTAAAGGAGGGAGTGCAGAATACTACAGGAGACTACGCAACACTCCAGTTCCAGAACTTCTGTCAGGAAACCTGACAAAAAGTCTCAATAACAACATATTGAGAGTAATTGCTGCAGAAGTTCATAAAAGCAGAATACATGACAGTGTTTTTCTAGAAATGCAGCTTACACAAGACATAATAAAGGAATGTGACAGCAGCTATTATAGCATGACAGGATACATGCATCATCTGCAGGTGAACCCCTTGGGGGTACACCTCTACACAGAGACAGGCCTGAGCATCTTGGTGCAGCACCTGAGGGGGAAGAAGCCTGTCTCTTTGTACCTGGATGCTATAGGGGGGGTTTGTCGAAGCCCCCTGAAGACAAGCGAAGAGTTATTATGCTTTGGCCTTGCCAAGACACAGCAAAGGTGCCCCCCCCCCCCCAGTCACTGAGATGATCTCCAATGAGCAGTGTACCTCCCCTTACGTTCTGGCTGATGCAGTTTCTTATAAAACTCTCCAGGTATACTTCCCTTAGGGTGCATAAGGTCGAGACAGATTATAGCTGGGCATTAATTCAGGCTGTACTGTTAGCGTTCAACAAGAAAAGCATAGATGCATACCTGAAGAGAACATTTTCCATTATCCAAAGGCAACAGAAATGGCCAGATATCAAATTCACAGTGCTTCACTTGTGCTCTGCCCACAAAGGCAGTGAATTGCAGCATTGGAAGGAGGACAAATGACAAGTCCCTCAGAGATTTTGCAACTTTCATTTTTGCCAGACTGCAGAACACAATCAATCTGAAGACTGCATGTGATATCTTTAGACACTTTTGCAATGCTTTACTGGCAGAACATCTAAATGACGATGTCCAAAACAGTGTTGGAATGAGTCCTGAAGGGACTCATTTCCAAGACCAGTAGTCTAGACCTTGAGGAGCATATGGAAGAAGAGCAGGATAGGTGGGAGGATGCAGAAATTGGGAGGTCCGTTAAAACACTCATGGGCAGCTCTCCATATTTAAGAGCATTCAGAAAACTATACGAGGAAGTAAAATCAGCTGTAGGAGCACAGCAGAAAGCACATCATGCTGCAAACCCATATCATTGCCCAG